GTGTCGTGCGTGTGTGTGTGTGGTATGTGTGTGTGTAATTAGCTAGAATACAGTCGAAAATGTTCTACTAATTGATTGAAAACAGTTATTGTGTTCATTTGATAATAAACACGTTTTTACATTCTAATGAAAAATAATTGTAATTAGAAAATATAACTTAATTAAGTGCATAGAAATACTGCAAGTTATTGTCATCATCTCAACAATTAAAAGTGATTGATCAATTGAATATTTATGGATAATTAACAAACTCCTCATTCCAGCATTTTGTGTTAAATAAAAAGTATAATAATAATTAGTCATATCTTTTAAAATATCTTGTAGTATTAGCATTTACAATTCATTAGATAATTCTTTATACAATTCATAAACGTATTATTTTTAAATATAATTTTTTAATTTTATGAGGAGACACGGTAGTGTCTCGGATGTCAAGTCAACCGAGAACACTACCATGTGACTTTATACGTTGGCGAGATTCGAGCATCCGAAATTATCAGAACGGCTAAACCGATCAAGTTCTAAGTAGACTTGATCGATAACTTGAGTTCGTAATATATGTACTTGGTCTTAAGCGTATGTGCGTATGTGTATTGGATGGTGAATATTCATTTGTATGTGTGTGTGTATCACTCATTCAGTTTATTTCATTTTATTTTCACTCTACTTTAAAATTAGAGTTTTTAAATTTAGAATTAAGACAAATTATTTATAGACTAGATGATATTTTGTAATATATTAAAGATGATATTTTATAATACTATATACATACTATATACATCTATATTTTTTTATCTTCTCTTTCTTCTAATCTTTTACATTTTTAGATTTACTGTTCAGATCACTGTTTCTTTCTATATATGTTTCTATATGCTATAAATATTAAAATTATTCTAAATCAAGGATGGCATATTCAAAACTTCAAAATGTACAAATAAAAAAAACAGAAATGGAAAAAATAAATCTAGTCGAATTATTCATTACAAATGAAATATTGGATCCAAATATATGACTCTACAATGTAAGTATATATGAACTTATTTCTTAAAAATTGTATTATGCATAACCAAAAAATCATTACAACGTATCATTATACAATGAATTTATATATGTTATTACAATAATATAGATTCTTTTATATAACAATATATAACATTGATGTAATAATATTAATGTAACATTGATTTAATTGAGGAAAACTCATGTAATAAATGTTTTTTGATTCTTAGTGTTTCATTCGATTTCATTTATTCAGAAATGTTTAAATTCTGAAATAATATAAAATTTATAAATATCTATTAGTAATTCTTTACTGCAATGCAAACATTGTTAGGCATCAGTAATCATATTCAGAGAATTTCTACATGAATTAATACTATTGATTAAAGGCGAATTATATACATAATGTACATTAGTTGCTTCTATTAACTCGTGTATATTTTCTATTGCATTTTTACATATAAATATTTTACATTTTAATACTTTAAGAATCTGTTGGGAGAGGTGGAGGGCAGGGTGATAAGAGGTACAAGAAGGGATAGAGGGGATGGCGAACCGGAAATATCAAAGGAAGAGGTAGTGAGGGCGAGGGGGAGGTTTGAAAGATGGGTAAGGCAATGGGAGGAGACGGGATTCCTGGGGAAGTTTGGAAGTTCGGGGGGAGAGAGGCTGGATTGAGTATGGAAGTTGTGCATTAGGGAAAGGGATCGAATGGATAGAGGAGCGAGGGAATAATAGTACCAATAAGGAAAAAGGGGGAGAGGGAAGGGAGTAGAGGAATAGGGAAGTGATCCTGGTCCCGGCGCTGTATAAAATCTATGTGGCGATCTTAGGGGAGAGATCGGAAAAAGAGATAGAAGAAAAAAGACTGATTCCATAAAATCAAACAGGCTTCAGGAGGAGGATGGGGACGTTAGACAATGTTTATGCGCTGAACTATTTAGTAAACAGGCAGCTAGGGAGGGGAAAGGGGAAAATGATGGCCTTTTTCGTAGACCGCGTTTGATTCTGTAAGCAGAGGGATTTTGGGGAGGGAGATGAGGATAGAGATGTAAGAGAGAGACTGGTGAGAATGTGCGAAGATATATTTATAGAGACTAGGAATAGGATGAGGATAAGGGAGGATAAGAGGTAAGTGAGTTACAAGCATTCTGGACAAGCAGGGAGGTGAAGCAGGGTTGTCCGCTGAGCCCGGGTCTAATTAACCTTCTGATTGAGG